TACAAAGTGAACTTTTAATTTCGACATTCTCGGTGTTAATTGGATTTAACATTTCAGAAAGGTTTGTGGGTACGAACATGACGGAGGGTGTTATACAGCACTTCCGGTACTTCCACCGAGAACTACAATGCGATGTCTTCGAGCAACTCTCACACACCATGCTTGGTAAGATTCGAACAGGAGATTAGATAAGAACATACTACGTTACAAAACACAATTGAGTATGCCATTTTTGGATGTTATTATTAAAATTATGTCAGGGTAATTATAGTAATATATAATAATCATCAAAAGTCTATGAATAGTAAGTATATGCCAAAATTATTATTCTAGTAATTCAAGCTATTCGATTTTATTGGATAAGTAATTTTAGCTATTAGATTAGTAATTAAATGATGTTCATTACGTTTTATTTCATAATTAGCTACTACCAACTCTCAAAGGTAAATATTGCCAAATACGCAAGAGTAAACCACTTTGTGCACCAGCTGTTAAATCAATACAACATTTCACTTTCAGAGCACTTCAAGGGTACCGAGATAACAACAGGACTGATAGCCCACTTTAAGGAAACTCATACGGAGGAATCAGATTGCGAGAACGACACAGACACTGAATCATAGCCCGGGAACGATTCAACTTATTTTTTGCTGTGTTCTTTTCTCCCATTTTTTTAGTATTTGTTCGCTTTTCCCATGTTTTAACAATTTTGGTAAAAATATCTAAGAAATAAAAAAAGAGGAAAAGCGATTGTTAGGCTTTTTCAAAAATTGCCAATGCACGATCTAAAGTTGGTGAACCTCAGTACCGGCCTTTTACTTGTCTATGATTTAATTTGTCTCACGTCGCTACTCGCGAAACCTAAGTTTTTGTTTAATTTAAGTGGGTATTCGTTGACACACGCTGTAACCCCTTTTGATCGCGGCCGTTCTGCAAATTGTTGAGGGTCTGAGTTTGTATCGTTTCTGTCTGAGTACCAATTTCCTTTTGCACTTGACATACGTTGCAAGATCAGATAAGTTTGTTGTTTGGAAGTGGTTGGGACCTCTTGCCAGGGATTACTGTATAGATCTTGTTAAAGATTCAACTGCAGCTCTCATAAAACTCGAGGAATTGGCAGCTTCCGGACAAGTAGTCGATACTTGGATCAGCTTCAGTATTGATATTGTTTCTCTATACGATTCTCTGCAACATAGCTTGGTGATGTCAGCCTTAGATGATGCTATGGAGTCGTGTAGACCAGATTGGTCTGAGGAGTTCAGGACTTGGCTGAAGGGACTGATACAGCTTAGTTTTGATTCGGCAGTCTTGAAGAATGCAGACAACTGGTATGAGGTCGTTAACGGTGTACCCACTGGAGGTATCAATTCAGTGGATTGCGGTAACATTGCTTTGTTCTTTGTCCTAAAGAGTCTGGTTTACGACCCGGTTGTTAGACCAGAGGAGCTCAAGAACCTTGATCGGTTTGTGGATGATATTTCGGGCCAAGGTATGTGGAGAGGTTCTATCTTAACTATGGCTTAGATATTACATACGAAGTGAAACCAATCACGGAGTTCACTCAGTTCCTGGACATTCAGTACAAGTTTGTTGGAGGGAGACTCACAACAGATCTGTTTAGGAAACCTACTGACGCCAACAGGTATCTAGAATTCTCAAGTTTCCATCCACGACATACCTTCCGGAGTATAGTCTTCTCACAGGCACTTCGATACAGAAGGATAATCAATGATGACGTCTTGCTGGATGAGAGATTGGCAGAGCTTCAGTTGTTTTTTGAACGGTCTTCATATCCTACTGATATGGTGAGAGAGGTCATCAGTGATGTCAGATCGATACCAAGAACTTTACAGTACAAGGCAAAGGATCAGGGTCCCCCTTCTTTCACACCATGGATTGTTACATTCGGTGCGGGCTATGAGGAAACCAAGGAAAAGGCTAAAGAGGCCAGTAACATCATCTCAAATAGCCGTACATGGAGCAGTGAGAACCCTGAGAGGATCCCTAAACTCCAAGTGGTGACCAGGCGAGCCCCTAACTTAAAGGACACTTTATTCAAGAGAAAGAAGCTTGCCTTAGGTTCAGAGTCAAGAACAACTGACCCATGCACCAAACCTGGCGAGAAGAAGAAAGGCAGACCCTGCCAAACTTGTCACCTTGTTAGTGGCAATTCCATGGTCTCCAATAATGGACACTCAGTCAGAACTCAAGGTGGTAACTGTAAGACACGCAACATTGTGTACGGCGCGACATGCAAACTTTGTACTGTTAATAACGTATACGTGGGAAAAACAGTCACCAGCCTCAGCCAACGTGTGAATGGTCATCGCAGTAAATATTATGAGATTTTAGAGGCGAGTAGTAAGGGGAATGTTGAGAGCCATAGAGTTTTTGATGACGAGAATGTTTTAGGGGCACATCTTTTTTCAGTTCATAATTTGAGGGAGAGATCTGTTTTCAATGAAAGTTTCCATTTTGATATTTTGTGTTCTACATCCCCAGATAATATTAGAAAGTCAGAACAGTTTTATATTAACAAATTGAAGACACTTTATCCGTTTGGCCTGAACAATGTGAATTCCGTTTTTGGAAGCTAATTTTTCATGGTGTCCCGAATTTTATTTTTAAATCGTCCATTTTTTGTTTATATATGCAGTCTATCAATTTTTGAATTGCGTCTTTTTGATTTAATGAACTACTGCAGACTCCACATTATTATAGTATATGCGATTAATTTTGTTCCGATTTTAAACTATTCCATTTTTACGAGATGCTAAATTAATTTTTTGAGACTTTACTACATTTTTGATGAGAATTTTTGACATTTTCAAACTAACCATTGATATTCTCAGATTATGTGACTGATTAAATGCTGAAGATAAAAGAAATATATTCATTTTGCTAAGATTATGTTTGCGTTTCATTGCTCAACAGCTGTTCGAAGGATCAAATATAAGACATACGTTGCATGCCACTTTTCGCGCGCGAATATCTGAATCTCTGATATTTCAAATATTATTTGGATACGAAACATGTATCAATTTTGCACCAAAGCTACGCCTACAGTACAAATCTTCTTTCTCGAACCGATCTTTTCTTTTAACCTCTTTACCTAAAATAGATTCGTCTCGTTTATATTAGTACTGATCTGATTAGTACTGATCTGTCAATAGCTTTAACCCCTACAGAATTAAATCAAATAAAGATTATACTAAAGATTAGTAAAGTCAAAGATTAGTACAGTAATACCCCGATTTATCGCGGTAAATCGGGTTTTGTGGTAAATCGTGGTTTTACTATTAGTATTACTATTATATACTGTATCAGCCAGCGTTAAAAAGCGTCAACTCGGTAATAGATTAATTTGGAGCGGCAACTTCAACCAACCGTCATTATAAATCTAGAGATCACTTTAAATTTAGAAAGGTTTCCTAATGCATCTCTACACTCTGTCTCTAGTAGTAGTTTAACTCATACAATTACAAAGGCCAAGGCAAAGAAATAATGAAAAAATGAACAAAATTGTACCGTTTCATTAGCCTTGTTAACAGCTCGACAACACTTTTCGCAAAAGATTGGATTATCTGCTGTAATTGGGATAGGGATATTATCAACGTTGTAGAAAATTAGGTTTAAGTCGCTATGAGAAGTAGAACGAGTCTTTGTACTTTCTATCAAACAGTTGTACCAATACCTTCATTTATATTCTTGGATTGTCAGAACCATGTTAACAAAACTTGTATAAAAAGAAAGCTGCTTCATTTTAAGTGCGGCAGCATCCAGATAGCCCGACCCCTGTTCACGAACAGGGGTCGGGTTATTTGGATACTGCGGCAGTATTAGTATTACTGCCAAAAGTGCTTCAATTAATGACATAATTAAGTTACATGTAGATGAGTTCGTTTTCAAGATGATTTCTATTCTCCACTTCCCAGTATTAATATTTTAATCCCCTCTTTAGTCTTTAAGTTTAACTATGTTTAGAGCAGTACAGCGAAACTTGTTTATATAATTCACACTTTTATCACATTTTTAATTTAAATGAAACTATCTTGTCAACAAAAATAATGTAGTTACTTCGAGGAGAACTCTTCACACAACAAGCAAGCTTTGGTTAACCTTGGCATCATCGGCAATCAGTCAAACGTATTTCAATCATAAACGAACTACAGCAACTTTGCAAGCATCAGATTGATTTAAAACATTCACAATTCACTTCCCACATTCTTACATTAAATGTAAGAATGTGGGAAGTGAATTGTACACTTTTCATACTTCACCATATCGGGCCTGCACATATTTCACGGTACAAGAACATATTCGTTCATCTGCATCTATTGGATGAGGACTAAAAACTTTACATTTACCGCCGGCGCGAAACGTTTAGCGTCAAGATAACTTCACAATTTTGTTGCGCAATAAGTCACGTGACTAGCGCGGCGTCAATCATAACTGACGCCGCACTATTATGACGACCTATCTTGTGTAGCCTCTCTCGCCGGCCGGCCGGCGTGCGAGCGTGCTAAATCACTCTACAGTCGATCTTCGAGATTGTTCTAAAAGGGCCCCCAGCAGTTGAAACCAGCTTGAATCGATGTATTTTCGGACGCTGATTCAGAATCACCCCCCATGACATAGGGTTAAAATGCTCCCCTGCCGAGATATTGGCGAAAAACTGTCTTGATCACGTGATATGACCGTATAAGGAAGTTGGTCGAATTTCTCGTTAGGGTTAGGGTTTCAGCATATGCTTTTGTTAGGGATTGGGTTAGGGTTAGGGTTGGGATCAAATAAGAGGGTTAGGGTTTCGAATAGTCGTTCAGGGCCAGCTAGAGAACGGGTTGAAAAAGTCACGTGACAGTTGAGTGTAGAGAGATTAATCATCATCCGCCGGCGTGCACGAGAGGTATACGACGTGTAGCAAGGTGTTCGTTGCGAAGTGGTCGCGCTTTTAGTTTCTGCCGCTGAGGGCCGCCCAGTAACAATGAAAAAGACAAACATCACAGTTCAGATTAAAAGGAATTTAAGGAAAATAATACATACTCCATTATTTCACACATAATGGGAGAACTTCCTATAGCACCTACAGTATAGGTGACTGGGTGACAGCTTTTATTTCAATGTTTGACGTAAAAACTGAAAAATACTATCAGATTTGTCATGTCCACTAAAACAAAGTGCCGTTAAACCGATCCAGTGTTAGCATATCAATATAATAAACATTCACTATGGAAGCGAAAACACTCACAAAGTCAACTATAGTATAATGCTTTCTCTTTCCCTTTACTTGGACATAACTCAGTAAATTAGATGTTGATACTCAATGAGGATAAATGCTGGATGAATTGAAAGCATATTCGTGCTTGACTTTTCCGGTTTTCTCTCTTAAGGCAGTTGAACGTACGCGTTATTGCGAATGTATAGTTGATGTTATCATAATTTACTAGTGATTTAACATGATCTCGCATGAGTGTCAGCATGAAAATAAAAAATACATCGAGAATAGTCTCTAGATTAAAGAACAGAATGATCACGTGCTGCTTGTAATGATCACGCGCTACTTGATCTACTCCATCTGCAGGGGAGGAGCTTCACCCAGCAGCTCTTCGTCAGGCTGAGGACCGTCTGCACCTTTAGTTAAAGTGTCCTGGATCTTGGTGAATACACTCAACAAGTTAACACTGTCGTTGAAGATCTGGGAACCCTCCACATTGTATTCCCGAGCATTTGCAAACATCAGATAGAAATCCTCTGCAATGTCCGTCATGTTCCGGTATCTGTGCTGAGCAATACCCTGCTTGATCTTCTTCAGGTCGACGGGTTTCTTTATCAGCTGGTAGTAATCGGGAAGTTCACGTTTGGAGGGTAACTTCATAAACATTTCACTGAGTTTCCTTTCGTCGGGATCTTCGTAGTTGACGACCTGTTCCCACATCCATTTCATCTGTTTAGTAAGGAGAGGAGGGTTGGGAGTGAGCTTCTCAGCAGCTGCGCTGGGTCTCCCTCTCTTCTTCTCTCCGTCTCCTCCCTTACTCTTCCTGCTCCTCTTCTTCACCACCGGCTCTTCTTCCTCATCATCGTCGTCGTAGTACATTGCACCATCGTCTCTTCTCTTCCTCTTCCTCTTGTGTCGATCCTCAACTTCCTCTAACCTTCCTTCCTCCACAGCTTTAGCCCACTGCTTGTCTGTCAGACACTCACTATAATCAACCTCCTTCCTTGCCCTGCTTCCTTTACCGTACACTTTATCATCATCCTCCTCCTGCTGTAACGCCTCTATCTCCCAATCGTTCCTGATCAGCCAGTCAGGAAGGTCGTGGTCCTGCATGAGACGAGAGTGTGTCCGACTGGAACCCTCCTGCTGGTAACGTTCTTGGTCCATCGTGGTGAAGAGCTTGTATTCGTCATCACTCCTCATCAGGTATCTGTTCAACAGGTCATCGTCTGGCAGATCATCTCCTCCAGTTCATCGTCCTTGTCGTTACTCAGGATGTTTTCCAGGAAGGACCGTCTCTCGTGAGAGGTGGAAGATTGGTTGAACATACCAGCCTGGATAACTTTCTCGTCCATGTTGAGCTTGAACCGAGCGGCTGCTAAGATCTTCTCCTCGACACTGTTAACTGTCATCAACCTCAGGACTCTAACCTCGTTCTTCTGGCCGATCCTGTGAGCTCTGTCTTGAGCCTGCATGTCCTGGTGAGGATTCCAGTCACTGTCGTAGATGACAACAGTATCTGCTACCTGCAAGTTCAGACCCAGACCTCCAGCACGGGTTGACAGGAGGAAAATATCGTGTTCAGAGTTTGCGGAGCAGAACTGTTTCAGCAACAGTTCACGGTTCTCAGATTTAGTACTACCGTCAAGACGGAGGAAGGAAAAATGACGGTCCTTTAAGAAATCTTCCAGAATGTTCATCAGATTTGTCATCTGGCAGAAAATGAGGACCTTATGCCTGGACGCCTTCAGCTTGGGTAGAATACGATCAAGTAACTCGAACTTTCCAGAGGCTCTCATGAGCTGGACACCGCTGATAACACCGTTAGGGAACCCGAAATTCTCGCTATGGATTCCTCCATAGTGGGGAACATGAATGGATGGTTACAAATCTTCCTGAGCTGCATGATAGTGTTCACCAGGAGTCGGGTGCCTGTCTTAGACTTGCTGTCTCCTGAAGCACCACAATCAGTGAGCAGGACACCTCGTTTTTGCATGTGTCGGTACATGTGTTTCTGTAGGGCTGACATGTCGCATTTTATTATGAACTCCGTTTTCTCAGGCAGCTGACTCTCTACTTCTCGTTTGAGTCGGCGGAGCAGGAAGGGTCGTAAGACTTTGTGCAGACGACGGATGATAAGGATGCTTTCTTCCTCGTTCAATTCCACCTGTCACATTTGATCGGTTACATAAAAACATCGGTTAACTTTTATTTATTACCAAGGTTACTACTATTTACAATTTTGCTCGCATTCAAATAATCACCGAAGTAGCTCAATTGAAATTTTGAGTGCTACGAAAATAGCGACATAGAAAAGTCAATTTCGTAATTTTAATTTTATATTCCGGTTAAACAATTTTCCTAACCTTCTCGCCAGTGCTAGCGAATGGAGCGTTGAACCACTGTTCGAAAGTGGTAACACTGTTGAAGATGTGAGGCAACAGGAAGTTGAGGAGCGACCACAATTCAGGTAGTTTGTTCTGCAGAGGTGTTCCTGGGGGAATTGTATAAAATCAGAATATTTTTCTCTTCATCCATATCCACACTCCACATGTTTCGCTGGATTGTCTTGGCAGTTGGCATAAATCATAACTTGGACAAGACTTAAAGTAAAAAATGCAATAATTATGTTGTGTCTGTTGAAGGATCGAATTCGTGATAGATAAAGTGAAAGTACCTGTTAACAAAAGTCTGGAGGGTGCATTGTAGTACTGATTTAATATCTGAGTTAGTTTACAGTGATGATTCTTCATTCTGTGTCCCTCGTCAATGACCAGGATCTTCCATTTGATCTTTGAGAGCAAGGCTTTATCCTTCATAATGTACTCGTAAGTTGTGATCAGTACATTGAACTTTCCGCTCCTGAAAATATTGAAATTCAACATTTAGAATATTTAAAATGTTCAACCGGAATTTGTACAAAAATTATATTTGATCGAATGTATAAATGAAAAAACACAAATTTCAATAAAACCGATGATAAATAATACCTGATAATTGGGGCCTCTAACTTCCTGGCCTGGGGTGAGCCCCGGTACGCTACAGTTATTATAGAGGGAGACCATCTCTCAAACTCCATCACCCAGTTACTCAGGGTGGAAAGGGGGACCACTATTAGGAAGGGACCTGGAAGATAGGAACTGTTAAAAGGAGCCGTTCATTCTAACAGGATGTCTGATGAAGAATATCGATTTTTTTAAAGAGAAGTTATTGATTAATTATTGAGGGGAGACTACCTCTCAGGTTTTTCTTCTCCAGGAGATGACAACAAAGAGCAATAGTCTGGATAGTTTTACCAAGACCCATCTCGTCAGCCAGGATACCGTTCAAGTTGTTGTTGTGAAGAGATACCAGCCATTCCAGACCTGTTATCTGTAAGAGGACAGAGGTTTAGCAATTAGCATTTAATTCGGAGCTATTTGTTTACAACTAGAATTAACAATTTAATTGGAAAAATGGGAAGAAATGTCCCATTTTAATATAAAATTTCTAGACGAATAAATCTGTAAATTGATTTCTTGAATTACTTTAAAGGTTTATAAAATAGGTTACAAACCTGGTAAGGTTTTAGTTTTCCGTATCGCATAATCGCGGGTTGCTCAGTAACCTTCTCCTTGTACAAATGCGCGATACCGTAGTAGTTCATGAAACCTTCAGTTCTCTTGTACTCATCATCAACTGTGCTGATTACTGAGAGATGTTCGCGTTGAGAAAAATAATATTGAAATATTTCTTCAGGATGATCTGACAGTTTGTAATACAACAACTTTGAAACTTTAAAAGAAGAATTTGAACGAAAGTAGAACTAGTCATTTCATTTAGCCAGGTTATAACGTCGCTATTGAATTGAGATTATGTGACAAGATCATAATAATCGTAATTCGATACTATACTTGTGAAATCACGTGATGGGATTACTTTAGTATACTGTCGGAAATCATGTCACGTGATACCCTTATATGGGCACTTACTCTCAGGAAGCTCCTCCACCTCGCATTGCACAACGTCGTCGTCCTCATCGTCCTCATAATCGTCATCACTAACTCCCGTGTGAGCTGTTAGGTCGATATCGTCTACTGCTGTTGTCTCTATATCCACGCTGGAATTGGGATTAGTTATACTCCGCATTACATGATCAGTTAATTTAACAAGTTGTGGAGGACAATTTGAACTTAAGGGTAAACCTGGTTACAGTTAAGACCAAGGAAAGTACTAGATTTAAACCTGAGTTTCTTATCATCTGTAACTTGTGGTTCGGGTCCTTCCGGTAGCTCACCATTGTCTTCCATCTCTTTCCGTTTCTGTATCATTCTCTTTCTGCGTTCCAACCTGGGATGAAGATACAGATAAGCTTATCTGGCTATGTCAGTCTGAGACTCAATGATGATATTATTATCTATCTTAATTTTTTTAATTCTATCGAAAACTGCAGCTTTCTGTGAAGTGGATATGAACTGTTTTGAAAATGTACTTAAGGCTACTGATTTTGCGTGAATGAAGACTTACCTAAGTCTGTGTGGCATGAGTTCTCTCCTGTGAGGTGACACGTGGTTAACATGTGGTTAATGTTCAACAAGTCGTGAGGTACATACATATGAGAACTGAGATGAAGTATGAAGTGTAACAACTTTTAGACTAACGTGACTTGAAAATGTAAAATGTGAGTCCCCAAACGGTTTCAGAGGGAAAAAACTCACTTCTTCTTTTTCTTCATTCTAGCGTCTCTCAGATCTTCTTGATGCTTTCGCACCATATTGGTCATGTCTTTAATAAATTCGTCGGTTTGGGCAAGAAGCTGGAGCAAACGCTTGTCTTTCTTTTCGTCGATGAGCTTTCTATAACCCTCTTCATCTTCGCTCTAAATTGAATCAAGATTAACAGCCCATTTCCAAAAATTTAATACAAAATCGTCTTCCGAAAATTAACTCAGAAACTTATTTGGGCGGGACTAATTCAGTAATTCTAACATGTTACACATATTGACGTACGTGCGCGCGCGCGCGCGTCAATTATAATAAGGAGAGCTATAACGCGAACAACTTTCGATCAAATACTATAAAATTTGCTAGTACAAAATGATGATATTTCGTAATTGTCCCATAAAACAAAAGGCGCGCAATAACTACTGAACTGCGCGAAATTTCAAGCTAGTTCTGACTTTAAAGAAACCAATTCGATCGATCGATCAGCTATTTTCCAACTGAACCTTACGAAAGATAAACAAGAGCACGATCAAATACAGACTAAATAAATTTGCAGGTAGCTCGAAATCCTACACAACGGTGGAAGTATACACAAAGGTTCTGGTTTTAATTTACCATCAATCGTTTGAGACGCTCTTTCTCTATTCTTTCTCTTTCTTTCTTCTCTTCCCGCTCAGCATTCTCGTGGTATATTCTCACAGCCTTGGCTATCTTTAGAGTCTTATGTTGTGTCTGTCGGTGATGGTCGCGGAATTCCTTCACATGCTGCAGTACCGCTGTAGAAATGTCGTTACTAGAATAATGTAATCGAGTATTCAAATTGAAGATTTAGCAAACATTTTTACATTGGTTTGTTAGTTGACGGAATTTTACACACGAAACTTAAAACACGAAGAAGATCTACAGGATTTAAAGTAAACCGTTTAAGAATTCCTGATGTCGTTGTTTTTTCTTTCTTTCCTGCTCTAGTTTTTGTTGTTTTTCTAATTTCTCAGTTACTCTAGCCTCCCTCAATGATTGTTTCTTCGCTCTATAATATATCATATATCAAGGTAAAATATGCATTAACAGAACATTAACTTTACTGAAAAAGTTAAATTTCATTATAGATATTATTATTAACTTGATCTTTGAAATAACTAAAACTGTTAAACATCAGAACCAATCATTGATTGAAAGTGAAATTAAAAGTAACAAACCGCTTATAAAGTTTAGAATTGAAAGCTGTTTCAAGTGTAGTGTCGCGCTGCATACAGCTCAGAACTTCTTTCCGGACCTGTCAAGGTAAATAAAGCTGGGAAGAAAGGAACCATATTATAAGTTGTGCTCAAATTTGGTCTCACAATTTTACACAGTCCCAAATCTGGGAAATCTGTTGATGATTAAAACCGAGTATTCGGCTCGTCTATAAATCCATAGCAGTTCAAATTCCCTGTCAATACATAAAATAGTTTTAATACATTTAAATACCTTCTTTTGGAACTCAATCAGACGGATAGCCTTTGCCTCGATATTGGCCCTGAGTTTGAGATTATCGTTTTCAACATCATCGTACGTTTCAAGTTCTTTGAGTCGCAGTGCCATTCGCTGTGATATTCTGTATTCTCGCTCCTTAAGTATGTCTTGCGGATCAATACCTGAACATTTTAGTATGTTAAATAAGAATATACTAGAGACTATTATTAGAGACTATTATTAGAATGTCGGGTATCATAATGCCCTTCATTTCAAAATAGAGCTGAACTAAGGAACAGCCGGGACAGGCGGACCGTGGAGGAATTTTAAAAACGCTTATTTTAGATTAACCAAGTGATTTATAAATAAATATTTCTTTGCACTAAATGCCTATTTGTGGAATGTTTGTATAAACTGAAACCACAACTCATTATTACAATGTTTATTATTGACTTTATCATAATGTTTGATGGTTATTGACATTTGGTGGTTATAAAGTCACCTCGGGTATGACAAGATTAAAACCAATAGAATCCAATGCTCGGAGTATTCTATTCTGTCTTAAAACTACAAAGAAACCTAATCTTTCAGAAATTAGAGCTGAACTAAGGAACAATCGAACCAGGCGGACCGTGGAGGAATTTTAGAAACATTTATCTTATTTATCATTTATCATTTATCTTTCAGACGACAGGGAACATGGGGCTGAACTAAGGAACAGCCTAGCCAGCTAGGCGGACCTTTGATATATTTAAAATATAACTTAAGGATAGAATAAACACCGGATGATGACTACGAACCCGCGCAACGTCCGAGAGGTGGCTTCTGCGCTGTGAGTCTAGTTTGTTTCGGTATAGGTATTGGAGCGCGGTAGGAAGAGACGGGAGTGCTGGGTGGTTGTGGCGTACTGGTCTCCGTCTTCTCTCCGCTCGGCGCCATCGTCCGGTTCGGGGTACTGAGAAGTAGAGGAGGTAATTGTGCTGCTCTTTATTAAGTTAGATAAAGCTCTGTGTTACAGGGAGCATCAGAGCAGAAAATACTGGCTAAATAAATACTGCCCCCTTTGTTGTGGTAGACACGTAAACTTGAGGTTAATCCAGTTGAGTCCCAAACTTGTCAAGAAATAAATTATGAAAAACAAGCTTTAAAAGTGTCCGATGTTTAAAAGAAAGGCTTATCCATTGACCCAATGAAAAGGCGTTGTACTGACTCCAAAGTACTTACAGCACACGCTTAATAATAAGAGCCTTTACAAGACTAGCTCCACAGCATTAACAACAATAACTTACTAAAGTTTAGAAGCTAATACAAGTGGTAAGTGGTAAGTACCTGGAAGGAGAGCCGTCAGTAGTAGACGGATTACTATTCTCTGAAGGAGGGCCAGTAGAAGCGGGGGGTCCAGGAGATCTCCTCGCAGCAGTAGACGTGGCTGGGTACGGTGCTGGGGGTCCTGGCATACGCGGCCCAGTCCCAGGACCTGTTAATTGGTGGTCAGTTAGAAACTGGAACTACCTTAGTACACAATATTTATACATCACAATATTTATACGAATTTCGATTTTTCGTATAAAATTTATGTCGTATAAAATTTATGGGTTATAAATTTTGTGTCGTATAAATTTTCCATTCTCAAGCCGTATGTTGATCAAGTTATCAAGAAACTAGGACTCCCAGAAAATCAAAAGGCACTCTTAATATGGGATGATTTCCGTGGTCATACTGCATCTAAAGTACAGAACCTATTGCCATCATTGAATATAGTTGCTAGTGATGTACCTAAGAACTAAGAACCGACCGGAAATCCGGTCCGGTCCGGTCCGGTCCGGCAGCAAAAAAGCCGTTCCGGTCGGTTCCATTTGCTTTCTCCTCTTGATCTGACGGTAAACCGTACATTGAAACGAATCGAACAAGATGACAGTGCAGAATATATCAGTGCTGAGATTACTAGATGTCTTCAGATTTCTCCGCGAATAGATGACATTAAAGTTAAAGCAGCTATTCTACGAAATTTGCACGCAAAGACTATCACGAAAGCGTTTGCTTACTTTCAGGGACCAGAAGGCAAACAAAACATTCTGCAAGGGTGGAATGCTGCAGGAATTTGGAAAGCAGTAAAATCATTAAGAAACGCACAGAACATAATGGACACTAATGGCTTAGTGGATCCGTTTTCTCGTCTTACACTGATTGATTAATTTCTATATTTCTATTTTCTAGTCACTAAACGGATTTTTTTCTGTTCTTTGGGAGATTGATGCAATCGTATAAAATTAATGCCGTATAAAAAATATCCGTACAAAACTCGTGACGTACAAATATTCTGTACTAAGGTAGTTCAAAACAACGTCATTTCAAGTTACTGATTCGTTTTACACTTTTAGAACATATTACTCTCAATAACGTTGACATGTAAGTTTAACCTGAGCCAGGAGTCATGAGGACACGTTTGCCGTGGAGCGCTGCCAACACGTGATCAGTTAGGGGCTGGTTCCGGGACAGGAGCTTGTAGGCGTAGATCTGCGCACGGAGCTGGGGAGAACGGAATGTTACACATTTTAATATTTCAGAGGTGCACTAAAGACGGTGGTTGAATAGCCGGTCATTTAGCTTTCGGTCTACTTTACATTTGTAATAGTGGTATTTATACAGAAGTTATAGGTACAGCTGTTAGTTAATAATATACTTATCCTTATAAGTAAGCTATCTGCTAAAATCTGGGGAAAAGGCCGGTAACAGTCATTCATAAAACATCTTAATCCATACATGGAAGATAGCCAACGATCTTGCCCCAAACGACATCAAGATTCAGGATCTAAGAACAACCCTTGGTATGGCATGAAAGGCAGAAAGTCAGAAAGGCAGAAACCTCTGAACAAGAAATCTCAACGTGGCCACCCATTATGAATAATGAAAACTGCGTTAGAGTAAACGCGTTAGAGTAAACGCGTTAGAGCAAACGCAGCGAAGCTAAGGAACCTTTACAAGCGAACAGCATAACTGATCTGGAGCCATTCAAACTATCATTGGCTAAATTCTTGAACGGTTTTTCCCTGAAACTCCGTGAACCAAAGGATACACCGCTATCTCCAAAAACTCACTCTTGGAATGAATTCTGCATAAGGATTTGGACCAGAGGTGATTGGAGGACGTACTAGACGCTGTCGTCCAGATGCAATCCCTGCTGAACCACCTACCTAAAGTGCCTAAAGTAAGTTATGTAATTCCTTTTTACACGGAATTAAGCTATCGCTCAATAAATTTATCACAATACTAAAAAAAGTTAAATTAATAAAGACACACTACATAAATTTATGTGTCTGCGCTATCCGATTTTGTGTTATCTTGAGTCACTTTGGTCATCTTGAGTCACTGGAGAACGGTGTGGCAACCAACCCATAGAGCCAGATAACAAATAACAGCAACGAGACAAAAAGAAATAGCCAAGAAACATCAACAGTCAACAGTCAACAGTCAACAGTCAACGCTATTAAAATCAGGACATTTCAGGAAATCCGTCGGATGCTATCTGTAGACGAGGAGAGAATCATGTTATCGAACTGGTTACTAAAGTTACTATGTTTGTTGCTCAGCCAATTGAAAACTGTTCTTCATACCACATGATCTCAAGTTTAATAAACACCATAGTTGCAGTGAAGGATTGAACCTGATGGTCCCAGGACCCAGACCCCCGCTAAACATGAGTCATACAGCCGTTCATTTGACTGCTCTAAGTTTGGTTCGTCAAAAAAGGGTGTCGACTGTCGTATGTGATTTGGATTGAATTACAGTTCTCCACGCAGCTAATAAACTTCTATAGGACCAGCATTTCAATATAACTCAAGTTGAACAAACAATGAGACACAGTTTAAGGCTGTGAATTGTAAACATGCTGCACAGCGTTCCCTCTACACCAAACAAGATAACAGAAGCCTCCAAACAAACTATTTACCTAATATCCGTTATTGGACTCCAAATATGTGGTTTTTGTGCCCATGTACAAACGGGAATTTTAATAAAACTTGGGACTGATCTGAGAGCTTTTGAAGGTGCAAATCAATCAGTTTTTTGATAGCTCTTACATCTATTTCTTATGTTTATCACATAATATTAATAATACTTAACTTCATAAAACACAAGTTGTACTCACCAAGTTAAACTGGTGCTGAGCGAACTGTACTCTAGTAGGGTACACAGGGGGGTGGGGAGCGCCGGGTGGGCCCCCACTAGTTGGTGGTGGCCCGTGTGGTGGTGGTGGTCCGTGGGGGCTCACGTGAGGTCCAGGTGGTCCATGATGTGGTCCAGGTGCTCCGTGGGGCGGGTGGGGTCCCCCTGGGTGAGGTCCCCCTGGGTGGGGTCCCCCTGGGTGGGGTCCCCCTGGGTGGGGTCCCCCTGGGTGGGGTCCTCCTGGGTGGGGTCCTCCCGGGTGCTGGTGCGGGACTGGGTGCTGGTGGTGATAGTTATTAGTTAAGTTAACACTTTAATCAATCGTTCAGTGTATAATTTTAAATTATAGAATTATAGGGTACAGACCATGTCAAATTCCAATCAAATGCAGCCAGATTGAATAAATGTTTCACTGATATTACAATTCTCGTGATATAAGCTAGACTAGACGATAGACCCACTAACCCGAGGATAGTGAGCAGGTGACTGAGGGGCAGTGTGGGGACCATGTGCTCCTCCCCCGGGGGACGGTGTCATGCTAGGTTGGGGCGTCATCGGCTGGGGTGTCACCGGACCTGGTGATTGTCGGGGTGATGCTATAGACCCACTAGGCGACAACATTCCACCTGAAAATATGTAAATTGATAAGAGTAGCTCATGTTTACGGGGACAGATATGTAATCATAAAATGAACAACTGAAATGGAAATTTGTTATTAATTACACTTTGATTTAAATTACCAGGGGTGCCTGTCATTGGCTGGGGGGTGGGGCTCATCAACAGCTACCACTTCTTAGCTATAATTAATAATCAGTAATTAATTATTACAACAAATTTATAATTATGATTAAATAGAAAGGTCAAGCCAAAATTGTATTTATTTTGATTTGTCAGAAAATGTCCATTGTTCGTATTCATATTATATCATAGTTAATCTATTGCTTATTTCTTTAATGTTTATAAATAAGAAAACTACCAATAACTTGTGGAATCTTTTTTGTAAAGTGATAAAATACATGTTTTTACAGTTATAACAATCACATCAGCAATATTAATAATTTAAAGTTTTTCAAAACAAAAATTTATAAAAATATTTCATATAAATCAATCCCTTATAAACTAGCAAGAAATCCAATATAAAGGGGGTAGTGTAAATGACAACGTTCTAAAGTAAGTAAATAACTTACAAGAAAAGTAGTTACTCATCATTTATATATTGTGAGAGGTTGGAATACTAAAAAATTTAAAAGTAATTCTGATAAAATTCAGTGATAAAATTCAACCTTATAACACGTTTAAATGTAAGCTTGTTGTCATGGATACAGTTAGATACACTAGTATAGTCTGAAACATACAAAACAGTTTATGATATACAAAGGTCTTCACCACAGATAGTTGATAGATAAACAACTCTGCTGTATAAAATTGCTTACAATCATAATTATATTAAAGTTAAACCAAACTTTTCCACAGCAACAACGCAATTTTATCAAGTATTTGACATTTAATATTTAAACAATACATTAATATAATTTAAATGTCTTGCATTTCATAGCTTCGAAACCATAATTGTGTGTTCAAGCATACATACATTTTTCATACAATTAATTTACAGTGCAGTGTAGGTTTCATATCAAAAGAAATAGAAATAATAACATACTCCAGTGCAGTTTACATTAGGATCAATAAACGTATAAATTCAAGCTAAGCAGAATAGTTTTTGAGATCTTTAATGAGAAATACTCCCATCAAAGGATAACTTCATGACAATAATCACTTTTATAATGGGAAACCAATTCATTCACCACAGTCCACAACATAATATTTACTCAACTCATTTCAAAGTCCTAAACAGGTTCAAGTGTGCAACAAGCAACACTTTTTCCAGCATTTCCAGTTTTCCGACTCTTTTCAGTACCGCTGTTCCCTTGATCATCCTCATGAGCATGAATAACTACAGCGCGTCCGACAATAGAGTGACTTCCGTGAAGAGTGAAGAGGGGGGCCTGCACACTAGCTTCCACTTGGAGCCACTTAGGTTGATAACAGTCGCTTTTAATAACAGTGTCAGGATTTTTTCCTTTCTTCTTGCGTTTTCGACCCTTTTTTCCTTTCTTATTCCTCTTTTCTTTTCTTTCATTATTTTCATCAGGCTCAACATCATTGTAAAGTTCGCACATTACAGCAGGCTCCAAAAGTGCAGAAGCAGTGATGGGTTTTTTTGAATTGATGTTGTAAGTTCCTCGATAGTTAATCTCACCTCTTTCACCAGCCCGGATATTTCCAAAATCTCCTATGTGCCGATGTTTTGCCTTAGAAAGAGGAGTTCCATGATCATGTCCTTTTGGGTTGTAATGATCACCTGTACTTGTGCAGTCAAATCCTTTCACTGGATTAGTATGCACATGAAGTCCATAATACCTCTGAGTAACCTTTGATGGGTCAGCTTGGAGATGAACTGTGACCTCTTGAGTGTTCCCATCGCTCATGAATGTAACCTGACCAATTTCGGTCCCGTCGTTGTGCAGCTTCATAGCACAACTAGCTCTTAGTGAGTAGAGAGGCTGCAATGTTGCTATTAGCGCAACCCAAGCTAACATACCTATCATATGGAGTTGGAGTTATATTGATGATAAGGATATGATAAATTCGAAAGCAAAATAAATTTGGTAATTTGGATTTGATAACTTTTCAATGTATTTATAAAACAGGACATTGATTTCCAAATCAATCGTAAAAAGTTGTTATCTGTAAAATAAATGACTAAAATAGAATGATACAAAACAGTAATCTAGAGCACTGAATACATATTACATAGCATACCACATGATACACTCACCTTCAACATTTTAATTTTAAAATTACACTAGGTGAAAACTTACAAAACTGTCATACTGTACTTATAATTATTCGCACAATTTAAAAGAATTAATTTATTATATTTACCCGTGCTGTGGCACTTTTGCACAGTGTGCTATCGAAATGCACCACTTTAGTAGCTATTGATTAATTATAAATCAATATTTCCTGATAATCACATCAAGCAGAACAAATTTTCATAAAAGAAAATTCCATCATCAGTTTCATCCCTGCACACAATTCCGTGTTGCTCAGCTGCTTGAAGGCGTTCTTTTGCTAACAGCAAAGGAATAGACATAACATTACTTAAATTCATTGCAGTGCAGCATTCATTTGATTTTATTGTCTGAAGTAAGTTGTCCATAATAGATTTGAAGTTATCACCTTCAACTACTAAAACCCCGGAAGAAAATTTGTTCAATTCCATGCCATGTTGTTCCGGTGTTAACGTTTTACACGCATTAACAACATCTTCAGGTGAAACCAATTCAATGCCACGTGCCCTGTTGTAGCGACAATACACTTCACTGACACTAAGAACACCACCAGCTTCGCGAAGGGGACCATCCAACATCCTGGCCAGTTCACTGCCCAAACTTTTATGGTATGATGTTCCAGTGCCATGAGATTCTCGTGTGACAGGGTTAGAAATACCAATCGACAGTAAAGCTGATTTTAATTCAACAGTCTCATCACCCTCGGTTTTTACATCAGAAAGTTTTTGAGCAATGCGCTCGGCAAGAATCACCATTTCTTTACCCTTGACCATTAAATTATCAATATCTTTGAATGCAGAGTTGAGGGATTGATCAGCGTTTTGACGAGAGGACTCAATTTGTTGTTCAATACGAACAAGCCCTCCCCCCATCAGTGAACTTTTCTTATTTGGAGCTGCGATTACTCCTTTCTCCCACCTCTTCTCATTCAAACAGGTTCTAATTGATGTTTCACCCTCTTGGTGGCCACCTTTAACAAATGAAAGCTTGATGTAATCATGCTTACTGTCAGTTATGGGACCAGGGGTCTGTGAATGAGGTGATTTAGATAGAGTAAGTATCACTTTAGCACTTTTGGTAAATTTAGCACCATGGCTTTCTACTTTAGTAATACACTTAAGGGGCAGTTCAATATTTCTATTTCCATCACTCCAGAGCAACCTGTGAGTTGAAACAGTTAGTGATCCTTGGTCAAAAGAGGTCTTGTCCTCTCCATCGTACAATCGAACGTGGGTAATTGTTTGCCTGTTTTCTTCTGCAGCTCTTTTTTCTTTATTCTCCCAAATCCATCGGTCCATGAATATTTTAACTATGGATATTGTTTGTATTAAATTCTTATATCAAATTTTTGTTTGAGATAATATAAGAAAATATATTCTCATAATCATAATATGACATATTTTACTGAATCATATCTCAAAATCATTGTGATAACTACAATTAGAATTAAATGTACACAACAATGTAATACAAATTAGAATTTAAAATATTCTAAAGAAGCTTCAATCTGCTGGGTAGGACATTCAAATCAGTCAAAAACTGTTAAAAATATAAAGTAAAGTAAAGTAAAATTTATGACATCACATCATCACACATGTCTACAAAATATCATCGCACTGTGTGAAAAAATATATAATAAATATTTGCCCACCAACATTAATTATTTATCAAATACAATATTTAAAAACAATTTTATCAAAAACATTATCCTATTTTAAAGAATTCCCAGTTGAATAAAGATTTATAAAACGCTTCTTTGCCACATAAGGATGGAACCAAAGATAATTGTTATGTTTCTCTTTATTACTGACATAATATGTTCATTATATGCAAGCCTCTTGATTTATAACTGGCTCCTTCAATTCTTACTAAAACTTCATTAGAAACATTCCAAAAAAAGCAATCATTTGTAATGCTTTTAGAAATCATATCTTTTTTAAATCCTTCTAATTTAATTTTAAAACCTAAAACTGTCACAGAGTTCTTGACGTCCGGAGGGAGTTTGTTCCAATATGGAATAACTCGCTCCGGGAGAAAAGACTTCTGAATATTCTTGACCTTTGTCGCACTTTTACTACACCTATTGGATGAAACCAGATTAAGACCTGATCTGCTTGGTCTGAATAAGTCTGAACCATAATCAGTCAAACCATTTATTACCTTAAAAGCTTCAATAAGGTCCCCACGTATTCGCCGCTCTGCCAGCGTTGTCAAATTGAGGATTTCCAGTCTACGGCTGTAAGGAAGAGTACCCACCTCATCAATTAGACGGGTAAACCGCCTCTGGACGCTGTCCAGCTCCAAAACAGTCCCCCAACTTCCATGAGCCGCAGATGGATTCCACAATTGGACGCAATACTCAAAATGAGGTCATATTAAAGCTTTATATATAGCAATCATAACAACCTTTTCTCTAATAACTAAATTCCTTACTATCCAACAAATCATACGATTTGCCTTAGCGATACATGCTTTGATCTGTTCGTTCCAAAGCAGGGAGCTATAGGTAATTACCCCCAAATCTTTTTCCTGTGCAGATACTTCAAGTTCTATACCATTTACCTTATAATTTAAATTAGGATTGTTTATAAATTAATATGCACTACTTTGCACTTGGCAGGATTAAATTGTAAAAGCCAAATACTTTCCCAAACTTCTAATTCTTCAATATATTCAGCAACACTACCGTGGTAAGCTGCATTACCAATTAATTTAAGATCATCAGCAAATAACTTGATCTTATTTTTTACAAGGTCAGGCAAATCATTTATATACAAAATATATATAAAATTATTCAAACAATATACACATAATATAGCAATGACCCTATATAAAAACAAACCTTTGAGAATATAAAAAATTCCCTAAACACTCAAAAATTACCCTTGGCCTTGTGGCTCCAAGTTAAGATCTAGACTGTTTATATTAACAATGTTTTTTCTCGCACCTCTGTCTCCACGGAGAGAAATCACTGTTGTTCTTAGGATTTCAAAGCGAAGGCGCTTTCTGATGTAACCTACAGCATCCGAGTACCTCTGGCCAGTGTGGTACTCCATCTTACTGGCCAGCTTTTTTACCAGTCTTTCAGCCTCACTACCCATTCCACCAGAAGTCGAGAACACTAAAGGTGTGAAACTTCCTTTCTCCACTTCAAGAACCCTTGCGTTGTAACATCGCTTTTTCTCATTTTCATGGGACTGGTACATTGCTGGGATCGATTTGCTTGCATTGGAGGGGGCTGGGGCATGAAATACCCTTACATCAAAATATGCCCTCTCTGAAGCATTCCATTTATCGATCTTGCAGAAATGTCCAGCCTAGCTTGGTCTCCAAGTACTGTTCCCTTAGGCAACTTCAGACCATCAACTGGAAGAAGAACTGGCTCAGTCTGCACATCCTTGCATTTCACAGTTCTCATTAGTTCAGCAAAGGTGTCTCTCAGCGAGTTGTGCCGCTGTGACACATATCCACCGAGTTTGCAGATGAGCGCATGGTTTGCTGAGTACTTTTGGCCACACGTACATGTCTTAGGGCTGTCCTTTAAGTTTAGGTTATATCTGAGTGCTATTGCGTCTGAGAACTGTTGTTTGTTCATCAGATATCCATACTCTTTTAAAGGTAGTGCTGTTAACCAAGCACTTGCCCCTTTCTCAGCAGCTAGTTGGAACATCAACTTTGCCAGTGGTGTTGGCTCGAGCTCCTGGCATATTTCCGCTTGTTTTTGTCGATAGAAGAGATTTCGTTCAGTTGTTATCTCAGTTTTCACTCCTTTGCTTACTCTCCAGTCCTCTGTGTAGTTGTCTACCTGCTTGAGAATAGCTTCTTTAAGGGGTTTTGTGGCTCTACATGAGAATTTGTACTCTCGGTCTGCCATGTCCATCATAACTGGTATACCCAATCCTCCATATCTTGGTGGTAGAGCCATTATGTTCCTTAGTTCATCAGTGCAGCTAAACAGCCTGTTGATGATAGCTGGGATAAACTCATCGCGTGTTACTTGTTCCAGAGGAGTGAGCCTATCTGCAACTCCTGGGGTAGTTCTGCACACATAGTTCCATCTTTTACTAAGCCCATACATGTATGCACTGTATGCTATTTGAGGTTCTCTTGATGCTATATCACTTAATTGTTTAAGATCACGACACCATTCTTGAACTTTTTCCTCGATGAAAGCCCCTTTTCCTTCATCAGTTCCGATAAAGCTGCCCAGATATCGTCGACCAATACTTGTCACATTGACATCTGGGAACAAGTTTCTTGCCTTCTCTTCGTGCTCAGGCTTGACTATCACCCATGTCTAGGAAGATTTAGGGTTGTAACCAAAAAGTGGTCCTTTAATGCAGAGGTTATCCCACCATTTCCTCATTTCTTCCAGTTTTCCCCCAGCAGCAGAGTCATCAGCATACCAGATCTGAGTCACTTTTCTCTCAATGTTTCCTGCATCAATCAATGGTATTGTACCACATGCATAAAATCCCATAGCAGGTGGATCACCTTGTGTTGTCCCTTCTTCACTAAAAAGATGTTCATCTTCTCCTGCAATAAACAGTCTAGCAGGCATTCTGTAGGTGTTCATAATGTAGGTAGCAACTTCTGGACATACAATATACATGTTGTTAAGAGCTGCCTCTCGGTTCAGCAAGTTGAATGCATTCTCTGCATCCACTAAGATGATGGCTTCAGTTTCAGGATCTTCAAAGCAGTCCCTCGCAGCATGAACAGCTGCTTCCACTCCTCCCTGAAGACCAGCACACACTTGAATAGGAGCAGTGGCACCAACCAGATCCTTCTGTAGGAGGGTCATCACTGTCTTCCCTATTATCCTTCGTAAGACTTCACCAATGCCAACAGGCCTGACGCCAGGCTTTTTATCCAGGGGAACAAGTCGACATGCTGTCAATGAGGTCAACATCGTTGGATCCAGATTCCTGACACATAGTTTCCTTGCTATCCCTGCTATAGCATTGCATAGATCCTCACACTTCTTACCAAACTGTTTAGAACACAGTAGTCTCTTCCACGCATCCGCATCCATTCCTGAAGGCCCTGCAGCACCCTGTACTCTCTTTGCTGCTTGTCTTATCGATTCCCCGTCAATACTGTCAAAGATAACCGGCTCTACTCTCCTCACTGGTCCACTCAGACAGCTTCCCTTTAATGTAGGTGATGCCTTGGGATGCTTCTCTTTCAGTACTTTTATCACATCTGGAGTGGGTTCAAGAATCCCGGTGGCATTTTCGCCAATCCACCTCATTGCTGCACTGACTTTACCTTTCATCATAAGTCGAGTGAAGACTCTCTCAACATGGCCATGTTCATGTTTCCCCTTTCCCATTCTTCTCTGAATCTCCTGTCCTTCTCGCAGCAACTCTTCTAACTTACCTGCCTGCCACAAAACAAGCCTTCTCTTCAACACTTCAGTGTGTTCCTTTGCTTTGGATCTCTTTGAGGGTTTCTGCAACAGTAGTGATGGCATTATCATCAAAAGGGTCATGGTCACTGATTCCATAGTACTGCCTGCTGAAAAATTGTTGGCCACTTTAGTCATTTCCTCGATGAATGCTTTTCCTGCAGCCCCTGAGGGAAGCAGAAATATGTTTCTTCTCCATTTGACTACAACACCATATATTCCCTCACATTGTGTTAGAACTTCCCAACTATTCCATGACCCTAATTTCAATTGAGATGGATCCCTTACATTTTCATAACCTGGGAAACAGCACTCCTTTCCCTCTTCTTCCACAATATGAGGGTCCTTTGATATTGGAGTAGATGGTTGTACACTTTCTTCGACCTGTCTCCTCAACTTTCGGATAGCTTCAGTTATGGGGTTTTCGTCTTCGTCTTCGTTGCTCTTCTCCTCCTTGCCACATCTTTGACATGACCACTCAGAATCCTCATTTTCTGCTAGGTCTTTAAACTGCAACTCCGACAGTCCACTACATGCCGCATGGAACCATCGTCCACATTTTCCTTCACATTGAATACAATCACATATTACCTCCTTTGAACAAAATCCACAGATATCAGCTTTCTTTCCAGTTTGCTTTCCTACTTTGGACCTAGTGTCCATTTTTCTTGTGTCAGGCATTCCAACCCAAAAATGGGAACCACTACTGTTGCCGAGTCGGTTACCAGCAGACACTGAAGCTTACCGCTGTCAGCCCCTACTGGATACGAGTCTCCTTAACAGTAGTGGACCCAAATTTGGGATCTGATGGAGTAGTCTCAACACCAGAGGATTTTACAGCTCAAGCAAATAATATGATGAAGTATATGATGAAATATTAGTTTGGTGAAAAATGTCAAACAGTATATATTAAATAAAAATATTAAAAATTTTTTAGTATTTATATACAAAATGAATAGGAGAGGGCCTAGAACCAATATCATAATATTTGAAGGGTTAACGGGTGATACTCGTAAAATATCTGTTCCATATAGCGAGTCCAACTCGGCGCGCTTCCTGGTAGGTTGTTAACCTACAATTGAAGGGTCAACATTTTTAATTCACACAAGACACGTTGTATTTTGTCATACGTTGTATGACCCGCCGCACACGAGTGCGCGGCTCCCCCTGTATCGTAGAAACTCTGCACTATAGTGAAACGACGATGGAGGTCACGACGTGATACAGTTGTATCATGTATACTTGTCCATTCTTGATGGACTAACCCAGCGCGCGCTACTTCGAAAAAATTTAGACGAGTAACATTCTGTTAGTTATTATATACATCTTTTCGCGCGCGGTGGCCGAAGAAATTAAGTATACAACGTTATGCATGTAGTAAGGGCAAAGGGGAGATTCTTTTGTCCTTGTAGGTTTGGATGATGATTGACGGATGTAACTCGTCTAAATTTCTTCGAAGTAGCGCGCGCCGCTTCCTTCTCGGGCCGGATCATTAACAATGGTCAAGATGATGATTATTGATTAATCACTCTACACACTTGACACTACACTCGACTGTCGCGTAACCAGTAACTTTTTCAACCTGTTCTCTAGCTGGTCCTGAACGACTTTTCGAAATCCTAGCCCTTTTATAATTTAATCCCAACCCTTACCCTAACCCAATTTTTAACAAAAGTATACACTGAAACCCTAACCATAACGAAAAATTAGACTAACTTCCTTATACGGTCATATCACGTGATCGAGACATGATAGCTTTTTGCCAATATCTCGTGAGGTAGCATTTTAATTTTATTAACCTTATATTTGTCATACGTTGTATCATGTATGACCCGCCGCGCACGAGTGCGCGGCTCCCCCTGTATCGTCGAAACTCTACAGTGAAGCGACCGTGGGGGTCACCACGTGATACAATCTTATATGTCATGGGGGTGATTCGGAATACATCGATTGAAGCTAGTTGGATTCAACTGTCGGGGCCTTAATTGACGATAGCAATTCATCGCAGCTCGGCGCGGCACAGTAGCGCATCTCTCCGATCTCTAGCTGTGAGAAGCCTCATTGAGTGCGCGGCGCGGCACAATAATGCATAGCGCTACAATCGGGGGCCCTTTTAGAGCAACCTCGAAGATCGATTGTAGAGCGATTTAGCACGCTCGTGTAGGTTTATAACCTACCAAGACGCGCGTCGAGTTGGACTCTGGACTCGTCCCCAGCAAAAGTTGGCTGGTAGTGTTAATTACTAGAGGTGGTTATTTTTCAACCACATTAATTTGCTAAGTTAAAAAGCTGCGATCTTTTATTTGGCCCAAAATCATACTTTTCAGGATAATTCAAAATCTACGTTGTCCCAAATTGTGCTCCTGGGGAACTAACTTTAGTTTTACGAGACGAACATTTTGTTGAAAACCAGAGTTTTCTATTTCTTTTACATTTTACTTCCGAAGTTAGGCCCTTGCCTTCACATAGCCATGTGTCTACGCGTACTGCGTGTCGCGCTTGTTTCACAAGTAAAGCTAAAGTTTTTTGGGTGTAGCTGACGCGGAGTAGGGTATTTTTGTTGAAACTTAAGTCTAAGACTTTGAAGAATCAAAAGTAGCCGTGTTCAGTGTTATTTCTCCAAACTTACGACTTAAACTAACTAAAATTCAAAATTAGCTGTATTTGCCGTTATAATTAGGTAGTGCGCCATCGACAGTGAGCCGCGCGTGCCGACTGTAGGATGGTTTTTTAGCGCTAATTTCTGCCAGCACAATTTTCTTCAAACAAATAGATATTAAGTATCTTTCCCGACCTCCAATTGCAACAAAAATTGGTAAGCTAACTCATAGACTTACAAAGAATGTGTCCGAAAAGTTAAAAGCATATCCAACCATCAGACATTATGTTACAGCTAAAAGCAGCGTATTTTGCCCCATTTTGATCACTATATCAACTCCGATATCCACCAAATTTTTCGGACAGTTGTGAAAGCCCTATTGGAAGGTCGTCGCCAATTTTCAGAATGATCTCATTCAAGGAACTGAAAATAAATCCAAATAATACGACAAAAATCAACGAATTTGGTCAAATTTGGTCAAATTACGCGACTATTACAGCTAATTTTGCTCCAAAAGCCGCGCACCATCAAATATGGCACCTAGGCGAAACTCACTGATCTTTCCAAAAAGGTATGACAAATTTGGTATTGTGAAAATTCTCACAGTCTCTAGAAAACAATGGTACAAAAATTTTTAAAATCCGAGCAAGTTTATTTTTATGGAGCACCCCCTATTATAATACAACTTATACTTTTTACCTCATGATTGGATTGCAATTCAAAAATAATTTGACAAGAAGTGGGGCCATCGTATCGGGCCACTTTATGTCACTTAGGGCTCAATTGTATCACGTTGCGACCCCCACGGTCGTTTCACTACTACTATCGTCCTGACGATACAGGGGAAGCCGCGCACTTCGTGCGCGGCGGGTCATACAACTTATGACAAGGGCTCAATTAGGCGACCTTGTCTAGCGACTGGACAGCAAGAGGTGTATATAATTCAAAATCTAGGTTATCCCAAATTGTGCTCAACTATAGTGTTACGAGTTCAAGCCCAAACTCTCATTGTACAGATAATGTTAGGACAGTAATTTCTATTGGAATTATGGACTTCAGAATTTTATATGAATTTATATCTGGAAGATAACGAATTAAAACAGGTAAATTAAGATAGTAACAATAAGTGTATTAAATTGAATAACAGTAAATTATCATAATGAAAGTCCGTGTTTACCCCAAATAAAGTGGCTGTGGTGAAGCTAGGTGGCCTGCAGTAATAGGTAAGGACGATTAGTAAAGATGATTCTTCGCGAGGTTGCAGTTGTCTCAATGTCTCCTTCATTAACGTCGAAAAAAGATGAAAAAATTCGGATTTTTGGTGGTTTTGAATGCCTTCTAGCGTTCATAATCATATTAATGTCCGTTCATAATTATGTCCGTTCATTTAATGTCCGTCCAAATAAAGTCCGATAAGGTATTACAATTCCTAAGCTGTAAATGAATGAGAAAAGTGAGCGACCGATTTTATTCTCGGTATCATTTTGCATTTGCGGACGGTCATTTAAATTAACATCATTTCCTTTTGTTTGGGAAAGGGAGACACTGGCAGCGGTCCACTCGACCCAATTTTTGGTCAAATAAACAATACGGAACAACTTTCCAGAACAAGAACAGGAAGAAACAATGTACTAAAAACAAATATTCGGTGTTAGATAACTGTTTCATAGCTACAAGTACAAAACAAACAGAAAGAGAGATATCTCATGTAGATATGGGTTACACTCCGAAGTATAGTCATTGACCAGTGACCACTGGTCAATAAAGAAACACTGTTTAATTACTCAGCAATAACCACTGAGTTGGGTTGATCATCTGAAGGAACACTTTTGGAGTGTTGAGCAATCTCCGGTGAGGTGGGTTTGTCATATGGAGGAACACTTTTCGAGTGTTCAGTAATCTCTGTTGACGTAAGTTCCTCGTCTGGAAGAACAGTTTGGGAGTGCTCAGCGATCTTCAGTAAGGTGGGTTGTAGGTTTACAACCTACCAGGACGCGCGCCGAGTTGGACTCGTCGACGGTCCTATATATATAATATATGGAACAGATATTTTACGAGTATCACCCGTTAATAAGGTGGGTTGATCATCTAGAGGAACACTGTCGGGATGCTTAGCAATCTCCGGTGGTTTGCGTTGATGGGGTGGTGATCCAAAGTTCGAAGTGATTGCATTCGAGTTGAAAACTTGCAGTTCAATCCCAGTCTCATTATCAACACGATTTTGTACCCGCTCCTCGATTGTATTTGTGGAAAAACATTTATTTCCGCATGTCCACAAATATGTGGTAATATTTGTATACATAGTACTGTAAAAGATTGGGTTCAGAAGACTGTTGATCGGGATCACGATCAGAGCAAATATCTCAAACATTTTTGCAGGAGGGTTTTCACCGGTATAGGACAAGATGATGACACCGGCTATGAAAGAGACCCAGCTGACCAGCTGTGAGATTATCATGAGTGACAATTTTAGTGTTAACTGAGAAGTATTGTCATTATTGACTGCACCAGAATGCTGACGGGAATTCTTTGTCTTTAAAACTATAATGGTATAGGATGCTGTGATGACTGTAAGCAATAAAGCCACAACTACGCAGTATACGACCTTGTACGTGTGATAGTTACCTTGAACCTTAAAGACATTGTATATGCACAGTGGGGTGTTACCGTAGTATCCTATGTCTGCAAAGTCAAATATTGTGTTGTCGGAGGTGATGTTGGCATTTCTCAGATCAGCTAGGATCCTGATTATATCTGTTGAAGAACTGTTGTTGAAATAGTGGCTGTGGATCCTTTGGACATGTTTTATCATATCAGGGCCTTCTCTTGATGTTATGAAGGGGTTCTTGTCCACAGCTGTTAGGATCATGCTTGTCCGGAAGAAGTTCTGGAGCTGATAAAAGGGTAAAATAGGTACAATAGAATGAATAAAGCTGAGAAGAAAAACAGTCACAGTAACGATCCAGACTGTTCTCGTTGAAATTTTAAAGGAGAACCCCAGTGAGCACGTTAAACACCTTAGAATACTCATAATGCCGATGACAATCAATGATCCATGAGATGATACAGAAAATGTAACTCCTAGCATCGTACAGGCTACACTTGCACGCCAGTCCTCATCAGATTGACAGTAATCTCCTTTAACGTTTAGAAAAATTAATGCGACAATCATGAAGAAAAGGTATACGCCCATTAGAAAATCATAAAAACATATTGAAAGCCGTAAAATCCTGTCTATTTGAGCTGCTTTT